TGTTGTGCTTGATATTTAGCTAGGTCGGTTTCAATCTAGAAAATACATACATTTATTGACTTTTCTTACCATATTTTCATACTCAAGACATTTAAGTTCCTATAAAATATAGCAGAATCAAATAGTTTAAAATTAAAATTCAAAGCTTCCAGCGTTTAGAGGTTTGCCCAGTATGTGCCTGAGTTATTGGAATCATTAGAGTCTCTAAAATTGGGATGCAATCTGGCAACGTTAAGGGCTCTCAACTCCTATTAATTCCATTCTGAAGCCTTTTAGCTTTCCATAGTGCACAGAACCTTGAAGGACTGGACCTTTGGATTGGCAAAATCATGAGAAATGCTCATGAAATATCAATACTGTTTCTTCTGGCTCTAGGCAGAATCAGAACGATAATTGCATGTCCTTCCTTAGTAGATTGAGTACTAATGTTACTGCTGTCTGCACTTGCATTACAGATTTAAAAAATGTTACTACCTAGATATCAGGCCCACATAGTATAAAAAACAACTAAAACTGTATAAAGTAGACCAATTACACCACTGATACTTCCTTTCCTAACTAGCTTATCCAGAACATGACTGACCCAAACCCCAAGCCCCACGTTCTCCTAAACCATCTCCTTCCATAATGCTTGGCAAAATGGTCCACATCAAGAGGAATGTCAGATCCAAAATTAAAAGAGTAGTCTGTAACCCCTCAGCTGAAGGCAACCTTGCCACCAGGTCTGTGTGTTGAAAAATAAGTTGTTAGCCTGAGAACTTTGGTTAATCTCACCTGCTATGATATCCCATGGGAAAAGGAAAGGATCCAAAAGGGTGGGGCAGTGCAATCATACTCCTTTTAGTAGTGCTGCACCTGAGCCATCAGCTTTCACATGCTTCTGGAACCCAAGGGGTGAGTGCTGCTACTGTTGCTTGTCCTCTCCTTTCCCCTGCTTCTGAATTCAGCAAGGAGTGGGGAGAAGGGGAAGGGTAAACAGGAGAAGCATTCACCTCTGCACTCTGAAGTCACATGAAAGCCGGGGTTCCAGCCAGCCCCAGCTCCAATCAGCTGGTGAGCTCAGAGCTCACTGTTCACCCAGAGCTCTGGTTGCAGCCTGTGCTGGCCAGGCCATGAAGTCAGAGCTCACTAAGCATGTATGGCACAGGGTGCACCCCAATTGCCCCATTCCTGAATCTGTTACTACATGGTAAGAAAGTCAGTCTTGTGGATAGCCATGACTTAACCCATTTATAAACATCTTGAATTCCACTGAAGATGAATCATGAAGATCTTGCAACACAGGTAAAATGTGATCTAAGCAAGAGGCACCAGTTCATGGTGAGTGTGTTTTGCACTTATATTTTGATATGTTCTAGTTGGTTTGGAGATTAACATGAAATGAAGTGTGAAGTAGATCACAGATAATGGTTGTTAAACCAAAATATTTTCTCTAACTGAGGAAAAAGAAAAAGACTAGCACACTGTGCTAATATTACATTATAAGACCCTAAGCTAGGTACTTCCAATAAGGTAATATTGTATTGGGAATACCGTGCTGTGGATATTAAAAATATAAAATGCTAACATTACTTTCCTATATATATATTTTTTTTTGGTTCAACCTGCCCCACTCAGCTTTGCCAATGCATAATAATTTATCAGATTAAACATGGTTATCTGAACTTATCCACATGGATGAGATTGAGATGATATATGCCTTGTGTGTGCAAGCTCAAAATTTTCTGGATAATAGTATCTAGGGGTGCACTGATAAAGATTTTCTTGGCCAATACCAATGACCAATTATTAACCAGCCATTTTGGCTAACACTGATCTGATAGCTGATTTACAGGAATACAACCTGGCAGTTTAGAGAGCAGCATCTGGCCGGTAAGTCTGGGGGGGGAGGAGCATGGGGGAGGGAAGGGACATGGGGGGATGCAGATTGAGGCCCCCAGTAAGGGAGGGAGTGGGGCAGGGACAAGG